TAAGGAAAGTGTATAGACTTTATTATCATAAAGACAAAAAATCTTTTGAGAACGTCTGTTTTTTGGGTTGGCAAAAGGATCAACAGAAAGAGTTTATGATAATAAAAAATATTAGTTCAAAGACTTTTGTATCATACTGTATATATATATATTTATTTTGTTTTATTTTGTTATTTTAATTTTTAATTTATTTATTTATAAATTGACCAGTAGTGTTTGTGCGTATAATCAGTATCAGACTTGGTCAAATTCAGAGTTATTAAATAAGTAAAATGAAAAAATAGAATATTTAATATTAACTAGCAAACCAATATATTTTTAGTCTACTTTAAAAATTTATCAGAACCCAAAAAACTTATTATTATTCAAAGTTGTTTATCATTCGTTTATTCGTAGGGATATCCGGATTAATAGGAATTTACGGATTGATATTTTTGAACGAATGACGATCAAAACAATACGGATTTAAACGGATCACATCGTGAACTAGATTTTAAAGCGCATATAATCACAATAATTTTTATTAAAGGTAGCATTAAGACTATTAAAACTATAATGTAATATGAAAAATAAATTTACATCTATTTTGGATATCAAAAATTAGCGTAAATATTATTTTAAAGACTATTCAACAATAAGATGATAATAACGATAGATATACTTATATACTGTATATGTGAGTGACTTTCCAAGTACTGTACTGTATCTTCAATTTCGACACAGTTGATATTAGAAAAAATTTGACATACAGAATATCAATTATACGGTACTTAATATTTTATCTTACATACAGTATAAATGCTATAATTTGATTTCAAAATGCTTGTGCTATGTAATTGGTCTGACCACTGAGAGATTATGTATGGAATTCCTCGAATTTTGTTTCACATGTGCCTAGAAATTATCATGACAATTATGATCTAAGCAGCCGAAGAGTCGTTAAATCTAAACATCATTGAAAAATGAATATTTATCAGCCCGAGTTTTTATTTTCAATATATCGCTGAAATATTGGATACAACAACTTTTAGTAGTTAATGCCGTAAGTATAAAAATATTGTTAAAATATAGCTAAATAATTCAAAGGGAAATTGACGGGAACGTTGATTCTCAGATGAGGTAATGCTTAAGAATGAATAAATTAAAGTGAATTAATACAAAAATGTAACTACCGCTTATTGAATCATATCTATCAGACTTCGAAACAGCTTTGGTATAAGGATTAGTGGTTGGTGGGAAATAAAATACTGTCAGTGCATTATTTAAATTGATCTATTTCAAAATTGTATGTTCCTCAAAATAAAGTATTATTTGAATATTTACCTTGACATAAACTTCCCTGTCATCCTTAAATCTAAGATACCAAAGTATAAACGGGCCCGATCATTTTTTAGATCGTAGCCAACTCTCCGCTACCAATCTGAATTCAGGATCAAATTCCCTGTCATGTGTATCAACAAGAAATAAAGTTAAAAATTAAGGTATAAGAGACATTTCGCAAAGATATAAACTTATTTACAAGGTATGCATTGTATATACGACTCTAAAGCAGTAAGAATATATAGCTTACCATCAATGTCGTATTAATATTTCTCGGCTTTTAAATTCACTCTTAGTTTCTTTTAAATAAACTTATTAAACTATAAACTATATGTATTACGTTTGATTACATTAGTAATATTCAAGGATATATACTTTGCCTAAAAACCTTTATTTTTATGGCATGTATAGCACGTCGCCTTCCAAAAACAAGAACAAAGAGAAGCAGACAAAATCAATTTATTATAAATATTAAATATAAAACACGGAACATAAGAATGTACCTTATCAGCTAGTAATAATATACTGTAAATTATTATATTACGGAAATTTCACTACAAATTCACTTGCACAAGTGCTGAATAGATAATGTACTGTATGAGTCGAATGCCATAGAGGCGTTGCATACATGAGATAAGAAAATCTTTGTTCCGTTACTTATGGTAGAGATGATAATTATTTATATTAAGAATATTTATGTTTCTTTGCGAAAGAATTTATAGTGAAGAAAATATAATGTATATTTCTTTGCATAACAAAGGTCTTCATTCAATAAAGTTTATTTTAGATTATTGTATTTACATTAAATTCCTTGTTCAATTTTAAGATCATCAAGCAAACGCATATTCCTTGAATAGAAATCTCTTGATGGCCTTTTTTGATTTTTCATCTCATCAAACTTTAGTGTCATGTCGTAAGCAAGCAACTAAATTTATATAATTATAAAGTTAATTATTATATATTTATAATACGCAATATATAAAATAAAATAAACAGTTAATACATACGGCCCATTTAATTATGCATTCATAATACCATATGAAATCTGTCATCTCATTAAAATCTCGAGGAAGATTTGCGTTATCAACTTCATGCAAACAAAAATCACCTATAATTATAGTAATATTAGTATAAGAAATGTATTAATAAATAAAAAAATAAAAAAATAACATACCACAATAATCGAGATAATAGAGGTGAATGCGGAGCCTAAAACTTTGTCCTCCAAAAATAGCTATTCTATTTGGGATACGTCTTCTACTGTCAGTAATCTGCTTTACGATCGATAAAAACATTGATTTTAAATTTCTTGATATTTTATCTGCATCTGCCAGTTCTTTATCTTCTTTTGCTTTAGGTTTTGCGCCTTCTACATAAACCAGTTGAAATTTATCGGCATCCATTATATATCCGGCCCCATCGGCACATTCTCGTTTAACATGATTCTCAGAAGGAATTTCTCCATAAATATAGTGAATTTTAGCAATATACCAAAGTGCCGCATTTAAACATGGATGGATATATAAGTTTAGATGGGGCTTTTCTATCATATTGATATTTAGGAGAGGATTAAATGGACCAAGAGAAAATGCCGTTATGCTATAAAAATAAATAATATAAATCTTAATATAATGTTTTATTTTAATTAAACAATACTATAAATAATAATATATATTTTCTTTTTTTATATAAAAAGTGGGACTTACAATTGTGGTAAAGTAATGCGTATTATTCTTATTATTGCTTTCATTAGCTTATTATCATTTTCTGGTCGCAGATTATCAATTTTATCTTGCCATTCGTCACTTGATAATTTTTGAGAAAAGAAATTTACAAGAAATTGATGAATATTGTCTGGAATTAAATTGGTTGATTTATCGTCCATCTTTTTATTATAATTTTTTGTCAGTTGACAAGAAAGTTGTTTAAAAAATTGAGATCTTGGCCGTAAATCAACCACGGTAATTTCAGAAAAATATTTGTTATGTTCAAAACAAATATTTTTCATTACATCCGAATATTCAATTTCTTTTCCAAACATTTCTATAGCAGATTTCTAAAAATATATATTATAAGTAAGTATTTTAAATATTATTATATTTTAAATTTGTTAAATACTTACCAATTCAGAAATAGAATTATTTGTAGAATGTTCATTATAAAATGTTTCTTTCTCAATAAGTATTTCGCTATCTTCATTTGTTTGTTTTTCATCAAAAGTCTGTGAAAATTTATGTTTCATAAATGCAGATGATTTAAGGACTTCGAGCCTTTCATCAATCTGTAAATCAACATATAATGTTTTTCACAGCCTTTATATACCAATATACCTTCAAAAGTTTCATGAAGATAATATAGGTTCTTGCAATAGCTAGATACAGAGTTTGGAAGTTTTTTGTTGTAATCTTTAAAAATGAAATAAAGAGAATTCTTCCAATCTCCATATACAGTGCTCCATGGTAATATTTTTTTTTCAGTTTTTAATCGAAAGCTTATGTAATCCTTTAATTGCCAGTTTTTTGCCTCCACTTTTTTAAAATAATCATGAACTTTTACATCCTTACTAATCTTAAAATTTAAAAAAAGTGTGGATCTTAAAACGGCAGTCATGATTGTTATGTAATATAGGTTTTCGTGTGGTATATTTAATAAAAATTATGTAGTAATATGATCTTTCGCGTTGTGTAAATAACATCACGTTAATTATTTTGACCAATTAATTTATAGTCACACAAGTTTTTTGAATCTCACTAATTAAACAGGCACATTTATTTATTTTTTAAATATGTGATATACATAATAGAGTATTATATAAAAAAGAGCAACTTGCTTACTGCAAACATTAAATATACATTAGAAAGAAAAGTATAACTATGTTTAAAAGGAATTATATTTATTAACGGTTTCTATCTTTAAGTATAAAGTATAAAATCTTTATTACTAAACAATAATTTTATCCGAAAAAAATATGAACCATGATATAATCATACATTACCATCAGTCCCGATTAATTGTGAAGGCATTTCATCATTTAAAATCAGTCACTAACTTCAAAATACTTCTGCTATATAATTCTGTATAAGAGAAACCCCAAGAAGATTTGAAATTTTCACACAAATATTACAATAAATGCCAATATTTCCTTTTAAATAAATTATTACATTTATTTGGAAAATATTATTGTCCACGCAAAAAAAAGAGAAAATGAAACTTCAAACCAACACAAAGCTCATAATCATCTAAATAACAAGAGAAAAAGGTAATTAGAAACTGATGAACAATATAAAATATATTTGTTAGAGATTGTAAAAGAAAGCGACATAAAAAATCCTTATTAAATTCAATTGATAAATATCAGAACTATCAAGAAGAGCGTAATAAAATTAAATTTTATAATATTCAACAACTTACCCAATTTAATCATATACTCTTGCATAATTTTCATTGTGAATAAATAAACTTAATTAAACATAAGTGTATTGTCCCACCTGTAATAAACAATTCCTGTCAATTGAACTTGTATGATGAAAATATAACATTAAATATTATAAACAGTATGATGAAATCACATAATGTTGCTTCGGATCCACAACAGGTTCCATTTTGCTAGTTGATAGTTACTTCGGACATTTTAAATCTTACCCATACATAGCCGTGAGCCAAAAAAACAATATCTAAAAAACTGGAAACCATATTAGAAAATTTTATCTATACATATTAAACATTATTTTAAATCTTACTATGAGTGATATTTACAATAGTATTTATCCATTAAAGCTTTTATATATTGGAATGATTTCGCACAACTAATGTTACGTGAAAAGTTAGCCAGATGCATAATGTAATATTGTAATTTAATGCGCTGGTAAACAAATGTCGGAAGATCTAAAATCGTGTGAATACTTAGATAAATGACAAAACATGAGAATAATAGACAAATATATAAGCTAAGTTCCATCACGAAAAAAGAGAAACCATTGTATTCTCAATCATTCAAATAAAGGAAAACCCTTAATAATAGACTCTCATGACGTTATATATGTTATACGCACCTTTATATATATGATATATAATATAGTGTATATATCGCAAAGTCGAAACCAATGAAATTTTTAATAACTTTGGTGATAGTATCTAGAAAGTATTCTAGAAGCTTAAAAATATGAAATTTGATAGAATTATTGTCTAGAAAAAAATTTTTTCCATCACTAAAAATTTTTGATGATAATGAAATATACCTAAGCACTATAGATTTTTTTCTGCCATCTCAAATGCCATCTTCTCCAACTTCTTCCGGTAATAGTAGGCTTTAGCATGACATTAATCTGCATTTAAATTACCGAAACTATATTTAGAAGCAGTCGATTTACCACATTCTAAACAGGGGACGCGTTGATGCCTTTTCCAATAAAAAGTCAATATCAGGGTTATCCACAGACCTTCTCCTCATTGGAAAGATAGTGACAAAGATAAATACCCATCATTCCTGATTAATATTTTTGAAACTTGCTAGTGATACTATCATAGGTAAAACTAATTAATTAATAAATTTCGAATTAAACTTTTTTCTTAGGATAATATGACTCTCATTGAAAGTACCACAAGAAAATATACCTCACAAAAATTTGCTGTGATGAGCAAAGTCTATTAAATTTATCTTGTCTTATTGGTTGAAGGTGAGAAGAGTCTTTACTATTATCATATGACACAGTATGTTATCCTTATTTCTATCCTGTATTATCATGGCAAAGCCATGCGTAAAGCATCATGAAGTATAAATAGACTGACATAGACTCTTTTTTTCATATTAATGGCATCCCAGGAATCAATCACATTGCTTCTACTAAGTTTAGGCCATAGAGTGGCCCTTCATCTTTTCTCTAAACCTCCCCCCAGAGGGTCGAACCTTGTTTTGTTTAATTATAGACTCACATGTGATGTTTTGATGTGGTCATTCTTTTCACATTAAATGATATCTTGCGACTTCAGTTCATTCTAAATAATGTCCAGAGTGTTGAGACTACAATATGGAACAGCCTGAATGGTTTGGCTTTAATTATAAAAATAAAACAAATTTTAGGTAAGAACGTTTCAATAAAATACAATATCTAACAAAAATACTTCAGCTCCTTATAATGCTTATCCTATTTCTCAAACTCGATTTGTTACTAATGTGCAACGAAATATTGCTGATCCTCACCAGCCTATCTATGCTTATGATAATAGTGATTGCTCAGATTCAGCAAAAAGCATTGCAAGTATACAAAATACCTTTTCGGTAATAAGCAATAGAAATCAACGTTTTCTTAGAAGTTAACAGCAATCCTCTTCCAGCCAACACTCAAATAAATGATCACAATCCCAACATCACTTAGAAGAACGGTCACAGCACAGACCTGATGAAAATTAGCCTCAATCGAGGCAACAGTCAAGAAATCGCCAAAGGTCAAAACATCCTTCAAGAGAACGATCTCAATAAAGATGACCTTCTAAAGAACGAAGTCAATCAAGGCAGCCTTCAAGAGAATGATCTGAATCCTGACAGCCCAGACATTTTTCAAGACAACAAACTCCAGCCCTCTTACCCTTAAGACAACAAACTCTAATGTGTCAACCCTCAAGGCAACAAACCCCATATCAAACAGCTCGAATTATATTTTGCCAACACGATAAAAATCGTGAGACTTTGTCTTTACCAGAAAATCAAGGAAGATCATGGAAAAGAGGATCAACAGATGGTGTGATAAATTTATAATTTTTTTTTTTTTTTTTTAATTACACTAATATATCTTTTTAAAAAATGGCAACATTATCAGTGGCAAGTTAATGAACAACTTTTTTTGCAGCAACAGCAACTATATCTTTTGATAAGAAGACTTAGCAATAATATCTGAGAGATCAAGGATGAAATAAAAAAGAGAGATGAACAGGATGAGCTTAGTCCTCAGATTATTGACGTAAGT